GTTTCATTACTTGGGAATATGACTTGGGCAACTATTGGTTTATAATCCACTGTAATCTAGCCTAGGCGATGTTGTCCAACCTGTGCGGATTGGGAGAAGGCAAGGTTCCAAGCCCTTCCCAAGCTCAAACCAAGCCAATCCAAGCTCCTCCTTCAACAAAGGGTTTCGGAGATGAGGGTTTTGGGTATACGTGTAGCAATGGAGAATCAGATGGACACAACAATTAAACTGAGAACGGAAACTGGGATTCTATAGGGTTTCCGGATTTGTTTGATATACTGCTTTATCCTGTCATCCTTACTACAGACTGCATGAGTGTTTTGTAATATATCTACTGGACTTAGACCAGCCGGCCAAGCCAAACCCTTGCTCCCTAAACTGTTCATTTCATATCTGCTGTTGTTCTTAGACTTAGACATATCACTAGTACATGATCATGATTTCTTTGACTGTTTGATTGCATTCATCCTACCATTGACATGTTTTTTGCACTCCTTTCACCAGTGCTACCACTCCTCTGATGTGATTGAACTATCACAGCTGCCAATACTACTATTGATAGTGTCATCACTCCTATCACAGTCACCCTTGTGTACTATATTACCTGTTGTTGCCCTAGGTGTAGTTTCAAGAGCTCAACGTATTAGATTTTTGCTGATACCCGCACTTTTGTTCTATGTTTTTTTTGTGATGCGAGAACTGCTATAATTGCAAGTATTTGGGCCATTATTGCTGCTATGGTTGCCAGTCTTGTTATCCCAGAATCCATGCCCAGAAGCAGAAATCCTTTCACAATTGCCAGTATTGAAGCTCCAAGACTGCAATATCATGTTTGGAGCTCAGACTGCAATCCCTGAGACGCTTGTGACCTTTGAGGCCCGGAGACCAAGGTTCCTTTGATATTTGTCACTTTGAAGTCCGCTACAGCGAAATCTTTGCGACATTTGTCATAGTAGAAACGCTGAAGCCGTCCTCCTTCTGGCAGTTGTGTTTTGAGGCCGTGCGATTGTGATCACTGTGACAGCCTTTCATCTTTACTCAACTTCGTACTTTGATTTAGGGGCTCGTTTTTTGACCGGATCCCTGAGCAATATTGGGTGACATGCCGAGGTGTCGGCAGGAAGTTGGCGAAGGGTTCCCTCTCATGCTGGACTGCTACATGGCATTGTCAGTGCCTCCCGCTCGGCCTCGAAAATGTTCGACTGTTTTATAATGGTGGTTCGTCATCCGCAGTATCATATTCAGTCATAGTACTCGTTGCTATCGTCCTGGCAAGCATAACATGCAGCACACGCTTGGATCCTGGTCTTTCTGGTGACGTTGTGGTAGTTTCCAAGTATGGTTCTCCCTCTTGATGTTTCTGCATAGGACGTTCTCAAACAACCTGTTAGATTGCACTCTCTGCAACTCTCCAAGTGCAAATCCAAAAGTTGCCTGATACTGAGCTCATATGACTAGAATTGCAAGGTGGCCCATCCTGTGAACAGCTGGAACACTTCCAATGTGTTCAGTATGCCCCCAGTCAGTGAGTCGTCTAATTACGATGCTTCAAAACAAGTGCAATCCCAAACCCACCACCCCCAACCTCAGAACCCAAAACCCTAGTCTCAGGCCCTACAGCATTTCGCTTGCACGTCGGATAGCTGAGCCGGACCTGCACTTCACGTGGATGGAGGACTTCAAGGGCCCTCTTCACGGGGATCCGGGTTTCAGGATTGGGGCTTGCATTGAGAGGTAACCGAGCGCAGTTCCTGGAGTTAGGCTCCTGCAATGTTCCCTCTAAAGCAAGTATCCTCAAGGGCAGAACCCCAAAACCTTTCCTGTGGAATTGGTGGAGTTAACAGCTTAGACAGTGCCAGGACTGATTCAGCAGCTCCTAAGAAAGAGTACTTGCATTGAGTTCAGGCTTTTCTACTTGAGTTGAGCAATTAGTTAAGCATGTCTCTTACATGTAATACGACCAAGCCTAGATAGATGGCTTGGATGTTTTTGTTTCCGAACGATTTTGCATTTAGCTCTTGGGATTTGGGACTCTCTATGGATATGGGCCGCGAAAGAAGTTGCTAGTGGTATGTCAGGAGCAAATTAGCTTTGGCATTCTTACAGCAGACCTCTAGGAGTTGATCTGCAGCTTCACAGCTTCAAGCCCAGATGAGCCACAGTCTAATCTCCCTAGAGGGGGTTACGCAGGGGATTCTATGGGGGACTACCGTGGGGGATATTAACGGAGATACCAGGAGTTTAGACTATAGCTCAGATGGATTCCAAATCTCTTTGAAAAGGCCGCTTGAGATAGGCATCCCGCAAGGGTGATGATCGAAGACTTCCAAACCTTCCTGTATAAAACATTTACATCTTCCAAATTGGGTATCCCCCTTAATAGCACCCATGAAACTCCCCTATATAATCCCTCAGTTAAGCGGGGTCTTGGAGCTCAGGGCCAGCCTGTGAAGGATAGATCAGAACAAATTGATTTACCGCTGTTTTATGGAATGGCAATCAACGAGGAACACGCTGTTCTGATAAGCCCCTGGGCTTGAAGCAGGGGCACTGATTATGATATTTGCCCGGACATGGCTGCCCATGCAGGAATTCCTTCCACCGGATGCTTACGATGGCTACCAGTCCGTCATGGAGGCAGTCGGAGGCTTGCCGGAAAAAGCCTAGGGACAACATGCCAGGGCCGTTGGGGCTCATATGGGGCGCATTTGATCCCAAACCCTAAACTCTTAGGAGACTATAGGAGCGGACATTGTGTTTGAATCCCGACTTTGGTGACTGGCGGACTGGCGGATGAGAAGATGCCCACCAGCTTCTAATGATCATGAGATAGCCGAAGCAACAGATAAAGTCACCCGAACATGTAGGAGATGATCTGCGGCTTTGGGTGCATAAAATCCCGAGCTCTTAACATTCACGTCAGCTGTGGCCCCGCGCAGTACAAGGGACGCCAAATCTTTTGAGGGTCCATATAACAAGGATCATCGTATTTGGAAGTACTTGTCCGCTTCTGGAACATGTTCAAGATTGAAGCTAGGAAGACTCAAAGCTTCGACAAACACGCAAAACCCTGCACCTTTCAGGTATACAAAAAAGAAATATGCATGCTTCGGCAGCCTGGGGGGCCTGTCTCTCATATATCCTTGTAGAACCCCTATAGGTCGGTTTGCATCCAAAAATATCCCTATAATATATCCCCATATATCGGTTGGGATTTAGGGTTCGGGGTCTAGAGCTGACACTGGCAGCTAAGGAAACTTGGGCCTCATGCTGACAACAGGCTTCCTCGTCGGAGACTATGCGTGGCATGTTGGAACACGGGGGTTCTCAACATATTTTTCAAATTAGACTAAGTACATATCCAGGATTCCTGAGCATCCCCCCTTGCTGAGAAAAACCAACAAGAGTCTGCTGGACTTTGGAGCCGCGCAAATCATTACAGCTTGGATGTTTGGAGTACCTGCCAAGACATTGAGAACATGCTGGGATACCCAGGACACTTTCGGGGGTTGAAATTCAGAGTTTCGGGCGCAAAATCTTCTGCCACAAGCTTTGATTTGCCCGTGCCTCGGGGCACAGACTATGTCACGAAGCTTAAATCCCTGTGCCCTGCCGGTGATTTCTACATCCACATAGCTAATTATCCCGACAACATCTGCAGAACCAATTAAAAAATCAAGTGGCAATCGTCAACCGTTTCGTACTTTTTGGGGGGCCGTAATTCCAGGCTTCAGGCCTAAAACTAGTAAACCCTAAAACCCCTAAGCCCTGAAATGCCCAAAACCATTCAAAACCCCTAAACCCCTAATGCCCTAAAACCCACCTTGAACCCTTAAAGTTGCAAGAAGTCCTAGACTCGAATAAGCCTTAAAACAAAAACCCTATGAACCTAAAATCCTAGACCCCGAAGTCCCTTCAGCCCTAAAAGACACCTAAACCTTAATAAGCCTTAAAAAACATTAAACTCTAAAAAGCAAAAAACAGTAAAAACAAACACTAACCCTAATGACATCAGAAAAAGAACACCTAAACCCTAATTCCCAACCCCTAACCCCTGAAAAGCCCCAGGCCCTTAAAAACCCCAAACCCAAAACCTCCCAAACCATGATAACCCTAACTAACATAAACCCTAAACCCGAATAAATGCTAAACCCTAAACGCCCCTCAGCCCACAAAAATGGACCCTATAAAACCTAAGCCCTAAAATAATCCTAAGTCCTAAAAACCCCTAAACCCCAACACGCCCTAGACCCTAAACTATAAACCCTAAAGGCCCTTACCCTCTAAACCCTAAAAACACCTACACCCTGAACCCTCAAAATCGCTAAACTCTAATAAGCCCTGAACCCCTAAAAAGCCCTGAACTCTACAAACCGTAAACCATAAACAACCGCAGGCCTTAAACCCTAAAATAACGCAAATCTAGACATCCTTAAACGCCAAAACCGCATGACGTGTGGGCGAACTAAGACAAGGAAACATTTAGCATCTATGCTGTGTGCAACAAGGACCCATCATTCGGACCAGATCCCGTGTCAGGTGAGCATGAGTATACCCGCTGGGGCTTCAAGCAGCTGATCGACAGGCTCCATTCCTGGAAGCGATTTCGACAGTCTCCTAATCATTACCGGGGTGAAGTGAAACTCGTCTCAAATTTCGATAGCGAGGAGCTCGGCAGCACATCAGTCGACCTTAAGCCTTAACATATCCTCCCTGTGCAGTATGTGGTTTGTACTAGGGACATATGAGTATGCTGGTACATCGCACGATATGTCTCTGCCGGTTCAGACGCCATTGTGGCAGTTGCGACAGTCAGCTTCTTGCTTCTCTGCTGTGTGTTCCTGCATGTCCGTATGCCGAACCTCAAGCTTCAAGCCCTAGACCCAGAAGGTATGCTTGTTCTGTGATCCAATCTGCAGATGGGCTCTAGCAACCTTTAGTGCTCTGAGGCAAGCACTGCACCTAAGTGTGCTCGAGCTGCCTTGGGGATTTTCCGGTGCATGCCCAGTGAGGAAGACATCCTATCGCTATGCTTCGAGGCTAAGCCGACTTGCGTGGCGAACTCTGCCGACAAAGTCGCCAACGTGAAGGAACAAGATGCCCAAGATACCCGAACTACGTTTTCGTGCAGTCCAGCAGACGTACTAGGTCCTTGGTCTTCTATGCTTGTATCTTTCCTTTTGTACTGAAAAGCTGGAGATTTAAAACAACCTGCGCCCTCGATTGCCACAAGTTTACCCCGAACTCCAGAAGCGATCCCTAACTCGTGGAAACAGTGTGGCCCAAATGCCTCGACTAGGTGTGGGAGCTTCCTGTCTGGTTCTGGGCGCAGCCTGTCAGATTGGTGGAGCCAAGACTGAGACTTGCCTATGGTGGTAAGCAGGAAATGAAAAAACAGTTGGAAAGATAGCGGCGATATCATTCAGGGTTTAGGGTTTGGTGGTCCACAAGGAATGACAAAGAAGGACAGGACATTCGGGACGATTTTAGGGTTTCTTGCGCAGTAGTGTATGTGGATCCGCTCCTTCATTTCCTGCCCAATAAGATCCAAGGAGAACCTGGCGGCGAAGTTTCTGGTTAGTGCAGGTGCTGCTGGCACACTCTGTGAGACTCATGAAGCAAAGATGCTGCTTGCAGCTTCGGGCAGCCCGTACATCATCAAGTATCGCGGCGACTCATCTGCAAAGCAGCATTCATCAGCCTCTTGCTGCTTGCTTGTCCGCAACGTAGAAAAGTCGGAAGGTCTGGCATTCAAATGTTCACCTTTGGATGTGCTTGATACTCGAGGACTCTTTGAAATGGACCTGGAACAATCTGTCAAAGTCCGTGGCTTTTTCACTTCGGTTGTGAAGCAGCACAAGAAGAAGACGAAGGCGGGTTGAGGACTTGGAATCCAGAAGCGGCGCAACTATTCAGTTTCAAGGTAAGTCTGCCTTGTCACTTTGACACCGTGTGCCGGCCCGGGATCACATTTTGTAGCAGATTTCACGTTGTGGTCACTGACTGCCGTTGCGACTGCTGCCGCCACAACCTGCCGAGTCAACGTACACCACCATTGTCAGCGTCCGTACCGCTGCGCGCCGCTGCAGCCCCATCACCCGCTGCCACCATTGCCTTCTCGCCACCTCTGCAGCAACCTGTTGCTTATCCTTCTTCCATAGAGGCCGCTTGATAACTCGAAGCATGAGCGGTCCAAGTGTGAGGTTGATGAGATCCAGAGCTGCTTCTTTCTGCTGACAGAGACTTGTCGGATGAAAGCGGAATTTGCTGTCAGCCAGACCTGAATCGATGCAGCTAGTCGGGAGGCTGCTTCTGCATGCATGTGCGTCACGTGAAGTTTTTTTTATTTTCGTGCATTTGACGTTTGAAGCTCCAAATCTTCAAAAAGCTCAAACACATCGAGCTAGTCGTCCGCATGCCGATGTGCCATCCAATGTTACAAACAATGCTACCGTACCGCAGTCCTTCACTGCAGACAGGTATGTTCGCATCTTTGTTTTTGGCGGGAGGGTGGATAGTTGCCGACTGTGTAAGCCTTAAACTCTGCAAACTTGACATCAACACCACACGCTCCAAACCCTAAACCTGATTTTCCCGTGCCGAGGACAGATGTGACAGCAGCCTCAACAGCCTCGTGAAGGACACCCAGCTCAAGGAGAGCTTCAGGTTGCGGGTTGGCAATCCAGGTCAGAAGTCGAGTTTCTTCTGTTACTGTATGGTTTATACGGAAAGGTTCTGTGGGATTAAAAGAGAATGAAAAGAGGATCCTTAGGGAGTTGCAAGGAGGACGCATGCTGAATCTTGATCCGGGTTTTCGGTAGGATGTAAGATCATTGGGGGTTTCTCACGCCATTTTCTAGACAGCTTCTAGTTAATTGGGGAAGAATTAGGGATTTGCCGTTTCCTGAAGAAGTGGTAGCTTGTCTGCAGGTCGTCAAGTGTGAGCATGCTATATACCTTCTGGGCCATTGTTTGCAGGCCAGATACTGCGGCGTCCTTAAAGCCTGCTCTCAAAACCTTGAATCCTGGAGTTCAACCCTGAACTTAGATCCAAAAATCTTGCACCATGAAAGCTGAATCCTAAACCTTAGCCCGAAACCCTCAGCCATCCTCAACCCTTTTACCCTAGACCCCACAACCCTTCTGGAACCCTAAACCCTATAGGCCCTAAATTCGCAACATGCAAATCATTCAGCTCTGAACCCCAAACGTTATGAACCCGAAGCCCAAATCAAATCTCAAACTCCACAAGCCCAAAAGCCTCTCAGCCCAAAATCTGCTCACCCTATATTCAGGTTTTACTGGGGTTATATTGGGGTTATATGATGTTATATGGGGTTATACAGGGATAATGACACATGAAACAGAAATTTCTGTAATCCAAGTTTCTCGCGTTAGCTGAAACAGCATTACATCTGGTGCAGTGCAGGTCGAAGAACGTGTGACAACTAAACAGCACTATTGTTTTCCTTTTCCACATAGCATTACGGGACTTCCAGTCTCTTCCGCATCAGTCCTTAGCGCCTTTAGTCTGGATTTGGGGTTCAGCGTTTGTGTTTAAACGGTTTCGGGGTACCAAACCCTAAAGCATTGAGAGCTCACTGCGAGTTTCTCGCCAGAGGCAAAATTCAAATAAGCCAACAGACTATGAAGTAGATGAACCAACAACCATGACTGCAGGGTTCAGCATATAATTGCTGTATAACCCATTACAGTAGTTTCCACTCTATTTTTCATTATTCCTATATAGCCCCAATATGATCCTATAATCCCTATACAAACCCTATCTATTCCCCACATTGCTCCCTGTAGTATCCCGATATAAACCCAATATAACCCCAATATGACCCCAACATAACCCCACATATAATCTATAATAACGCCAGTTTCCATTTCATTTTCCATTTTCTTTCTTTTCCAGTTGATTCTCCATTATTGGGAGGACTCATTGCAGCAGTCTAGAGGCCCTAAAATCCTGAACTCAGAGACCTGAGCCTGAAACACTGGACGCCGCATCCTAATCCAAAACCTTGTCTTTCAGAACGCATGTGTGGGAGTTTCTGGGCATTTTTATTTCCTCATCCCCAAATGCATAGACCGCGGTAGTCTCGTTATTTTTGCATGCATCCCTGGGACCCCTAAGCGAACCTCATGTTGGGGAACCACAAGCCTTGAAACCTTAACACTAAACTCTAGATTATGACCTTCCCTCCAGCTTTCCCAAGGTTTCCAGGGTCCTTAAGGTTTCCTTATTTTGACACACACCTCACGTGTCATCGTGGCAGGAGTCCGAAGCTAGCTTTGCCATCCATTGTGTGTTACGTGGGCTCGAACACCTGCATGCGCTGCTAGGTGCCGTTTAAGAAAATGTATTTTTGATCTTCCTGTCTATGCAGATATATCATATATTGCAGTATGCAGGCAAGGCGTATGGGAAGTTTTTGCAGTTTGCCGATTCCGCCGTACTGCTTAAGTTTCAGGACTAAGGGATGGTTGGGAAGCTTTCTCCAACGTTTACGAGTAGCAGAAGCAGCAACAGCAGGCCCCGCCGTACTGCCGTGTCATAGTCCCGGTGTTTTTGAGCCAATACATGGGCAACCGGTCATCGAACTAATTAAAACACGCACGCTGTTATGGTCTGGGCATGGTTACTGTGGTCATCCAAATCATTGAAACACGAATGTTATTACACATGGTTTGGGCATGGATGCTCTGGTCATCGAACTTATAAAACCACGAACAGTATTATGGCTTGGGGATGGATGCTCTGGTCGAGTGTCCCACATGGCGCGCTTGAAACATGAACGTTATTATGGTTTGATGAGCATGGATGCTCTAGTCATCGAACTCATTAAAACACGAACGTTATTGCATATGGTTTGGGCGTGGATGCTCTGGTCATTGAACTCATTAAGCACGAAGATTCTCATGGTTTAGTCATGGATGCTCTGGCAAGCGTAAGCGCTCGGAACCTGAACGTTTCTATGTTTTGGGGATGGATGCTCTGGACTCAGAACACGACAGTTGTTGCGATTTGGGCATGGACGCTCTGGTTATTGACCTCAATAAAACACGAACGCTATTAAGGTTTGGGCATGGATACTCTGGTCATCCAAAATTGGGCATGAGTGCTGTGGTCATCGAACTCATTGAAGAGTGTGTGGTTTGGGCATAATGACTCTGGTCATCGAACTCATTAACAGACGATTTAAACGAGTGCCACACGTGGCGTGCCACTGAACCCAGGCAGACACCAGGAACACTCGGACAAGAAGCATTTTTATTTCAAACTCCCCAAAAATATACATGAACCATGACCCGGCGGCGCCTCCTACTAGTAGTAGAAGAAGTAGAAGTAGAAGTAGAAGTAGTAGTAGTAGTAGTAGTAGGAGTAGTAGGTCCCCGGCGGGGAAAACACCAAGAAACAGATTCACAAAGATGTCATGCAATGGTATCAGAAGGTTTCCCCA